GTTTGTAAGTCTTTGATTCAATAAAGTCATTTACTAAAAATAGTGTTCATTATCATATCGGCATCCTGGCCAGATGCTCGATCCGCCTAAAGCTAGAGTCTGATCCACTTTAGCTCGGCATTCTACAGTTTTACCTGTTTTCCTATATCCGAGCCATGTGTTGTTATCAGCCAAGTCAGTCTTGCATCTGCATTCGACTCGGATACTTCTAAGTGGTACCGATGAATCAACACCGACCTGAATCGCGCATCGGGTATTCACACTTAGAAGCGAAGTGGTACGAACAATCATAAGCCGGGCCTCCCGCATGTTCGTATTCACACTTCATTATACAAGCCAGGATCCGCACTGCAATTCTTAAGCCATGCGGAATATGTAAGCCGACCTGATCGCAGTTCGTATTCGACTTAAGAAATTTTCTAAGTATCGAATTCATGCCTATCTAATTCGTTTGTTCGTTTAATATTTAGAAATTTAAATCGCACAAACTTAAGCCGATACCACATCACCGTTGTGTTCAGATTTTCAACTCAAAAAAATGCTAAGTTTCTTAAAAACTTTCATTTAAATAAAACCCAGAACGGCACAAATACATCAGGGAACACGTTAGATTACAAACAAGAAAAAGGGAAAAAGCTAAACTTCAGTTTCTTCCTGAATTTCTCCCTCTTCCTTGTCGGCCTCGTGACCGTCTCCCAGCTCGGTGTCTTCGCCTTCTCTTGCACGTCGCCCATCTTCTATGCCGTTCCTATCGGCTTCTGGGTCATCTTCCACGTCGGCTCCCTCTAACGAAACACCACTCGAAACCTCGAGAAAAATCTCCGGCTTGGGAACTTTAAGCTCATAACACGTGAAGCTAACTTCTTCAAAGACATCCTGCTCCGCCTTGCTATCCGCAACCATTTTCTCAACATTTTCCTCGATCGAAGTCGGGAAAGAGTAACCCTGCCTACGGACGATTTCAAGGGCCCTTTTCGCACCGGCCCATTGAGCCACAGTTGAAATAAGCTCGTCGCTTTTCTCCTTGCGAGATAGCGATTCCTTCACCTTCGTCACCAGGCCGGCATAGTGGTTATTCACAGCAATAACAGCGCGCTTAGCCGCCTCTTGACCGAAGGCAAATTTTGCTTCTTCAGCCGCTCTGTGCTCAGCCTCAAACTTCTTCTCGGTGTCGGCCCTCTCCTTTGTAATCTGCTTCAGGAGTCTGTTCTTCTCGACGTTATCAGCACGGAGCTTCGCCAAATCTTCAGCAGATGCCCGCATACCGCCCTCGAGCTCGGCGTTCTTTAGTTTTTCAGCCTCAAGGGCCTCCTTCACGGCTTCGATCTCCGTATGATCGGATTGACACGTTTTGGCGTCACGATCGTACTCGCATAACGTCGTCAGTGCGGAACTCAGAGCCTGCATTCGTAAATCTCATCATCAGAACCGATAATATATAAAGGGAATAGAAGAAAGCAGTAAGAGAAATTTACCCTATCCTGATCGTTAGGGAAGCACGCGATTGCCTCGCTGCGAATAAAGCTCTGAGGCTCCATCGCAGGAAGATCCGGATGATCCCTCAAACGGAGAAAATAGTCGAGACAGGATTCTGGACCCCTCAATGGACTATTCCCTCGATAGTCATAGGAAAATCCAAACCGATGAAGCTGTCGATCAATCCGAGGTCTCTTCGACCGTTGCAAATCCTTAGGAGCATCGTCCGCATTCTGCCCATCTTCACCTGCGGACTCTTTCAGTTCGGCCTTCTTCCGGGCCTTCTCTGCCTTCCTTGCAGCTCTCTTATCGGACGACTTCTTTGCCTTGGCCGAATCTCTATCTCTTTTGTCGGCAGCCGCTTTGGTCTTGGCCAGATCACCCTCTGGAACGACCGGATTCCCGTGCTGTTCTAAAGACCCTGACGGCGGGGGATTTTGGGCCTCCTTGGCACCCGGAGATTCAAACATCATTTCTAGGTCGGCAGATAAATCTTTGAGTGGGCGAGATTTCATCTCGTCGGTCCGGTTCTGGTGTCTAAGTAGAGCAACTGCAATTAGAAAAGTGTCAGCCGACCTTACAATTCACAAGGATAAGCAAAACAAGTTGAACCAACCTCTTGTCCTCTCGATCCTCTCTTCCGTAATCTCCGGCCAGGTGATTGCGCTGATCGCCGCAAATCGTTCGGAAATCTTGTAAATATCGAGGGGATCGTCAACAAATGGAAGATGCCTAATACCTGCAAAATTTAAGATACCGATCAGATAAGTTCACAACATGATCTTAAACAATTCTTTAGGTTGGGCGTGTCTCTACCCATGACCTCTACCCATTTCGTTCGAATCTCGATGTCTCGGTCAATAATGGAATGCTCGTTCACCAGCACGAAGAAATAATAATCCCTCCAATCGTTGACCTTCGATTTGTGCCCACCCGTGACTATGTTGAACCGGGTCTTCATGCTCGTATAGTATGATCCTCGGTTCCTTAAATTTTCCTTTGTCCTCCTGGTATTCGTCAACGCATCAAAAGCAGCCCGACTAAGAGGAATGTTATGCCTGGTAGACATCACCAGCATACTAACGATCAAACGGATTATCGAATGAGAGTATTGCGAGATCGGCAAACTCCAACAGCAGTCTTGGAAGAGGGAACCAGAGGTGAAAATCCCTGAAAAAGCATTCATAGACGCAGAACCATCCCTCCGGAGCGTCATATGGTCGTTCTGACGGGCTCGGTATCATAAAGATGACTTCATGGCCGATATCACACTCTTCCTTCAATGTTATCAAAGACTCCATAGTCTATTTTGTTGGCAATATCCCAAGGAGATTATCTTAAGTCGGCTTCGGTTTCGGCTCGCCTTTCTTCCTCTTGACCTTTTTAACAGGGGGATTCAAATCGACAATCCCGAACTGATTGGCTTCATTTTCAGCAATGAGTGTATTCAGCTCGTCGGAGATGTCCATCTCGTTCGATCCGCCCCTCTCGTCCGTCTCATCTCGCAGTTCGGGGATCAGGAACGGTTCCCTCGTCGACGCTTCACCGTTCCTCAAAATAGCACCGACCTGACCCGCGTGGAAACGCTCGGCCGCTGCCCTCTGATTTTCCTCTCTGACTCGCTCCTGGAAAGCTCGATCTAACGCGGATAACTCGCTAGCATCAGAGGACCGATCTGACGCTACATCGTTCGCGATCTCTTTTCCCTTTGATCAGCCTCTCACGGCCTGGTCGTCTTTCTCCATCTGAAGAAATTCTTCTAGAGAAATACCGATCTCGTCGGCTTTCTCCTTAGCCGATATAACCATTCTCGACTCTGGTCGGCTCTCGCAGATCTTCACACACTTGCTCATATCTGACTATCACAACGTTTTTCGCAAATCAGAGAAATCGAGCGGCTGAGAACGAACGAAACGCGGCGGAGGTCTGATCGGAAAAACTTTTAGCTAAAATAAGCAAAGAACAAGGAGAGAGAAGAGAGCAAACCTGATTTCAACAGAGTTTCGCTAGAAATGCAGAAGTGAAGAAATGAGAGTCGAAGTCCTCTTATTTATAAGAGGGTCCCGACGGTTACCGAGAGTCATCATGAGCTCGGCGACCTTTCATATTTCTTCTACATATTTTTAATCGGCCCCTTCGCCTCCTGCTAGGGTTTGACACGTGTCAACCCTAGTTCTGCATACGCGGGTCTGGGCCTAATCTACATCATTTTTAGGCGGGAACTTTTCGCGCCCAAAATCACAATTTGGCCCTCATCACCGCGCCGATCAGAAGTCCAGGTAATAATTTCATTTATATTTCTAACTCTTTTGCAGCCGACCAGAATTCACATCGAGCAGCATTTCTTTAAATTCGACAAGCAATGCATCCTCACTTGCCGAACTGGGGGGGACTTACTGTTAGAGATGAGATTCGTACCATCTCTAACAAACCCGATATGAATTCTAGTCGGCCTGTCTAACAAGTTCCAGGTCGGCAACATAAATGGAAATCTTCCATTTGTTGACGATCCGGGGAAAAAGGAAACTCTTTGCCGACAAGAGTTTCCTATTCCAAACAGGTTGAAGACCGACCTGATTGGCTATAAATGCAGGAAGTCCTCGACTCCTCAAACTATCCAAAAATCATCGATCAAGACCTAGAGCAAAACTTAAGTGATCAGATTGTTCTAGTTCTTGATTTATTTCCTTAAACAGTTTTAGGTCGGCGTTCTTGTTCCGACGACCTAAACACCGTTGTATTCAACTAAGCTCCGGCTTCTTCTAATAAAAAGATCTCTTTGAAACCCTCGAACCCTAGTTCTTTCGTAGATCGAACTTGAGTTTTTACAATACATTTGTGAAATGGAAATGTTTTATTATTGTGGCTAGTTCCGTTATTGTTGATAGCTAGATTATGGGATAGGTAGCGCAGTCTGATGTAATTCATAAAAGAAAAAAACTTAATTATTTATTGATGCACAATTAAATTAGTACTAATCGAGAAAATTAAATAATGTAGGTTAGTAGGTAACAAAACAAAAGTTAATCGCACTATTTTAAAGGAAATCACATCATAATCGCACCTTATTTCTATGTTTAGATAAATTATACATAACGACGAAATATCAGAATATAATTATTTAATAATATTTTATTATTATATATTATATTATAAAAACTAAAATATAAAATAACATAATTTAATATAATTTGCCAATACCTAATTTTTTATTGTTATTATTTTAATTTGTTTTTCAAAATAAAAGTATATAATATCTAATAATATTGCAAAACTTAAATAACAGACATAATTTTATTATTAAAGAAATTTTATATTATTGAATAAATTCGATATTATAAAATTGTTTATTTGTATAAAACTTAAATACTAAAACATAATTAGTTATATAATTGAATAATATAAAATATTCATTCTGTAAATAATTGATTTAAAACATATTTTTTTTGTTTAATGAATTTTTTTTTGTAAATAAAAACGTAATTTCGTAGGTTTTAGGTTTTTGTGTGTTTTCCACTAGTTTTATTGATCTGTAAAATTCTTACAAAATCGTGTTTGAAAGGCGATTCCAATCAAATATATTTTTCAGCCTTTTAAGGATTGGTCAAATCATATAATTAAAAAAACCGGGCCATTTCACCAATTTATCTTAAAATGTAAGGCCTTTGCCGTCAACTACAATTAAATAAAATACATCCTTCCTTTTTTCAACGAACGTAATCTCAGCCGTTCATCGTTTCTATCTTCCCACGATCTATCTTTACCGTCGGCTAAACTTCGTTCTCCTCCTGAATCGCGCAACATCGGCTCCTGATTCCTCCACTCTAGTTTCCTCTAAACCCTAAACTTCTTCGTTCGCGCGCTTGGACGAACGAAGCCGCCGGCAATCCCATCTCTGTTCGGCGACTGATATTGACCCCGGCACGTTTTTACTCTTCAAAAGGTGATGGAAGGGGAGAATATATCGGAGCCGCTGAATACGGCGGCGGCATCTACGGGACAGGGTATCTCCGCAAGACCTCCTCCAAGTGACTCAGTATTGGCTACTGCTTCGAGTATCTCTCCACGCAGTCAATCTCAGCCGGACCAGAAGGATCAATCCTCTATGTCTGTATGTTGTTCATTCTCTTTTCTTTCATAGGTCTTTCGCTTCTTGTGGTTTTGTTTAGATTATTAGGACAAAGAACCTTGTGATCCTATAATCAGATGAATGCAATTCTTTTGATAGTTCATTCTCGTTGAATTCACTTAAATAGAGTTTGTCAGGGCTCAATCTTGCTCAGTATATGCTTTGATCACATGATGCTGATTCATCTGTTTTCAGGTCGTTTCATCTTAGTCTCTAAACTGGTTCCATGATTTTTTTTTTTCCTGTTGCTGTTGTGCAGATTGCTACTACTGCTTTTGTCTCTCAGTCAGTTCCATCTCCTGCTGCTGCACAGTGGAGTTCTAATGCAGCAGCCTCGTCGAATATATATCACATACCTCAAGCTTCGCCGATGCTACCAAATCCGCCGTTTAGTCGACCAGGAACACTCGCCCCTCCTGGACTAATGACATCTCCGCCTGCGTTTCCTGGTTCCAACCACCCTTTCTCTACAACTCCAAGACCCGGGATGTCTGCAGGTCCTGCTCATATCAATCCTGGTATGCCTCCGCACATGTATCCTCCATATCATTCACTGCCTACAATGCATGGAACGCCTCAAGGAATGTGGTTGCAGCCTCCCCATATGGGTGGTATTCCCAGGGCAGCTTTTCCTGGTTCTTATCCATTTCCCGTTCGTGGAATCTCTCATAACCTACCACCATATTCTGGTTCTCAACCGCTTGGGGGCGTTCCCATGGGAAGTGGTGGCACTGTTCATGCGTTACCAGGTCATCAGCTTGATGTTTCTCCCGGGCAAAAGACAGAAGCACTCTCAGGAATCGGTATGCTCGAGGTTTCATGATAGATTACTGATCCACGTAAGAGCTGTTTGACCTTAATGGTTATTCTGTTTTGTTTACATTCGCTTCATCAGGATCTTCTTGTAATTTGCAGATGACAGAGCTGGTTCTCAACTAGTGGGAAATCGGGTAGATGCCTGGACTGCACATAAATCAGAAACGGGAGTTGTTTACTACTATAATTCAGTGACAGGACAATCGACCTATGAAAAGCCTCCTGGTTTTGAAGGGGAGGTGGGTATAACTGACTACATAGCTTGTATATTAGTTGAGACTGCATCTATTCAATACGGTATCATATTTGACCTATTTTGCTTAACGACATGTCACTTAGGAGTTCATGTCTAATATAGGTAGTTGCATTATATCTGAGTCCAAGTTTTGAAATGTCACATGTGATTCAATTTTTTTGTTAAGTCGTAGATGTCATATGTTCATTTATCTGCTGAAAAAATGGTTTTCAGTGTTCTTTTAAAACAATTTATTGTCTATTTTCCGTGCCTTATATTGGGATCGCGATCCTTAGTTGGTATCCAATTTTATTTTATGTAAGATTACTGCGATAGGTAAAGTTTATTAATATTAGTTGCTTAAGTTTTCCGAGCTACTTTAGTACAATGAACTTGTTGCAAGAGCATGTGAATGGTTACACAAATCACCTTAAGTTATTTACAGGCAGTAAGTGTGGGTTGCTTGCTATTTGATGCTAGTGGAAAAACTTATGGAGGATATTTGTCTGAGTATATCTTGATAACGTATGCACAGTATATTGATGTTGCTTTAGTCCTTTTAGAATTTTTAGCATTTTATAATCTATACTTCTTGCTTAACTTTTGCAGCCTGATAAAGTGCCGGTGCAGCCAATTCCTGTTTCTATGTAAGTTCTTAAATTGAGTCATAACTTTCTCTGATGAAATTAACTGTCGTTTTTGTAATGGTACAGTCTAGCTTTGTTCTGCGTGAGAAATATTTTGTGCAGGTTATAATTATCTCATCTGACTTGTACCAAATGTAGGGAGAATCTACCTGGGACGCATTGGGCTCTTGTATCCACAAATGATGGCAAAAAGTACTACTACAACAATAAAACAAAGGTAAATTGATGTAAAGAAGAGACAACATTTTAGTGGCTTTTTGAACTAGTGGTTGTTACTGTATATTATTCTGTTACACTTCTTGAATCCTCTAATCTCCTGGATCAGGTGAGCAGCTGGCAAATCCCGGCCGAGGTGAAAGATTTGGTGAAGAAACCGGAGGAGAGGTTTACAGAGAGTTTAGCTTCTGTGCCACGTGCTGATTTAACTGAAAAGGGTTCTGATCAATCAAGTTTGAACGCACCTGCTATTACCAATGGTGGTCGTGATGCCGTATCTCTCAGAACTACAAATTTTCCCGGTTCCTCAGCATTGGATTTGGTTAAAAAGAAACTACATGATTCTGGAGTGCCTGTCTCATCTACCACAGCATCTGAAGCAAATGGTGGTAAAGCAAATGAGGCCACTCCTAGTGGAGAGAGCGGAAATAGTATGGGTAGGGTAAAAGATGCTCCTGGAGCGGGTGACCTTTCTGATTCTTCTTCAGATTCCGAAGTTGAAGACAGTGGACCATCAAAGGAAGAGTGTGTCAAACAGTTTAAGGTATTGCGTAGTGGGTACTTATGAATAGTTCTCGCGGTTTGCTTTTTTGACATTCTCCACGTAGGGTTTGGTATAGATTTCTTTTTCTCATGTTTTCCTTTCTATACGTTAAATTTAGTCATTCAGATGCATCTAATTTAAAGTAGTCTAGATAAGGAGAAGAGAAGATCATGCATTAGAATTTTCATATGTAGATGGATCTTGTTTGAATTTTGGACTGTCGTAAATGCTTTGCATGTCAAAGTACCATTGATAATGGTGCCAATGGAAATTTTCAATTATGGAAACATTGAATTTATTCGGATTGATTTTTATTTTCTATGTTATTTTGACTAGTCATCTTCTAATATCTCGTTTCTTGTCATTGCTAAATTTTGCAGGAAATGCTCAAGGAAAGAGGAATAGCACCTTTTTCTAAGTGGGAGAAGGAACTGCCAAAAATTATCTTTGACCCTCGCTTTAAGGTCTGCAAAGCCTAAATATCACAAGAATATATTGATATCTTACCCTGTTCATATTTTCCACGTCTGTTGTTTATTTCCTTGCATGCACTTGCAACTTGTACATTTCCAGTTAATTTTACTTGCATCTATGTCAGTATTGTAACATCCATTCGGTAGGGTGTTTAAATTATAGCACAAATAAGAGTGTCGTATAGATTTCCTAGCTCCAGATGTGGAATGAAATAATGTGTGTGGGGACATGTTGTTATCTATTTTCTTTCTTTTCACTGATCTTTTCGCTGCTCTGTTTTTTTTTTTTTTTACATCTGTATTACATTTGGAAACATGACTTTCACTTTGCGTACCGTAGGTTACAAGAATAGTATCCTCTCTGATTCATTATGTTTTTGCTTTATATACCAGCTAAACTATTTGCTGTAGAGAACGAACTTTGTTTTTGGTTTCTTCCCATATTAACTAAGTAAAGATTTGAGAATGTAAGAGCTTTTTCATGATGTTAATCGTTTATCCGCTCCACCCATCATATGTTCTGTTGCAACTTCATTTTTTGTTAACTCATTGAAATGCTGAGAATTTAGTGTTGTTAATTTTTGATTTTGCCTATTATGGTGCCACAGATTGCACTGTGGGCTTTTTCGATGATGTATATTGATTTGGAGAGTTATTTTGTCTTGCAGGCTATACAAAGTCATTCTGTTAGAAGATCTTTATTTGCGCAGTACGTAAAGACACGTGCTGAGGAAGAACGTAGGGAAAAGCGTGCAGCTCATAAAGCAGCTGTTGAAGGTTTCAAGCAGTTGCTGGATGAAGCGTCCAAGGTAATATCTTTTTAATGAATTAACTGGTTTTTTCTTTTTTTTTGTACTTTGAGCTACCTTACGTAAACATTTTTATTATTGCTTTGGATGTTCTTATCTTATACAGTATATTACTTACTTTGTTATCATCCTGATAATTTCCAGGACATTGATCAACACACTGATTACCGTGATTTTAAAAAGAAATGGGGGAATGATCTGCGGTTCGAAGCACTTGAGCGTAAGGAGAGGGAGTCTTTGCTAAATGAAAGGTAACAATCTATCATTTGCGATCAGATCTCTATATATGTGGAAAAGCTTGCTTATAATCTACGTGGTTGATGAAGCACAGTGATTTTTCTTCCTTCGTGTGGATTTTTCAGTGCCTTGTACTTATTCTCTGTTATCTTTTGCCTACTTTTGTTTCAGAGTCCTTTCTTTGAAACGGGCTGCTGACCAAAAGGCGAAAGAAATCCGCGCAGCCGCTGCCTCTGATTTCAAGACAATGCTACGTGAAAGAGAAGTGTCAATAAATTCATATTGGTCCAAGGTAGGTGACATATTTGTTTCTTCCCTCTGCGAGCAAGATAGATATAGAATATGGAAACATTTTTAAGTTTTCAAGAACTTCTGCCCTTTGAGGAATCACATACTAATAGCAAAACGTATCGAAGTTACGAGTATTGATATTGTTATTTTTGTCTTATCTTTTATATAAGTTTCCCTTCATTGGCCTATTGTTAACTGTTTAGCATGCACTACCTATAGCTATATGATATTTTTCTCCCCTGTTAATTCAGGTGAAGGATAGCCTGAGAAATGATCCAAGATATAGATCGGCTGACCACGAAGATAGGGAGGTCTTTTTTAATGAGTACATTGCGGAAGTAAAAGCTGCACTAAGGGGAGATGGCCATGAGATGAAAGCCAGAGATGAAGAGGTAAATAACTTTATATATTCACAATTCCTGTGAGCCGCAAGAAACTTGTGCAAATGTTCTCGCAGCCCTCTTCTGCTTGCTTTGAACAAATAAGATACATATGTATTTACATCGTTGTGATTTATGCATTTGGGTTCAGGATAAACTGAGAGAACGGGAGAGGGAGTTGCGGAAACGGAAAGAAAGAGAAGTGCAAGAGGTGGAAAGAGTACGGCAAAAAATTAGAAGGAAAGAGGCAGTCGCTTCTTATCAAGCATTGCTAGTGGAAAAGATCAGAGACCCCGAGGTGAATTTCTATTTGTGCTTTGCTTACTTCTTCTATTATGCAGCGAGCTAAAGCTTTTCGTAGGGTTGCGTATTGAAACATGTTAAAAGATTAGATAGAGTTAGGTTGTTTTTTCTTTGCTCTTCCATTCAAAAAAGTTAAGTTGGCTTCTCTTATCTGTGGGGATTCTGATTGGTCAATCTTGCTTTGTTTACCTTCTTCAACATCTGAAGGCATCGTGGACAGAATCTAAGCCGAAACTTGAGAGGGATCCTCAGAAACGCGCCTCTAATCCAGATTTAAATCATGCTGATAAAGAGAAGCTATTCCGAGACCACATAAAGACATTGTACGAGGTAACGGTTCTACTTTCGCTGGCCTCTTTTGGTCTTCTCTTTATTTGTCTCTTTCATTTCATCTGATATGTTGTCATGTTTTCGCAGCGGTGTGCACATGACTTCAAAGGTCTTCTAGTGGAAGTGTTGTCGTCGGAACCTGCTTCTCAACAGTCGGAAGAAGCAAAGACGGTGCTTAATTCATGGTCAACGGCTAAACAAGTACTCAAACCCGATGTCAGATACAGCAAGATGCCCAGAATAGATAGGGAAGTCCTATGGCGCCGATATGCTGAAGATATTTTGAGAAAACAGAAACAAGAAAGCCATCAAAAGGAAGAGAAACAAAGAGATTACATGACCTAAAATCCGCATAATAATACATTGCTTAAAGTTTGAAAAGCTCAGTGCTATGCGAAGCTCTTTTGATTTCTCTTATTCATCAATCAGCTTTGTATATTCAACAGAATAGCAAACCAAATGCGATTTCTTTTTATTTCTCCTTTGAGGATAATGTCATAACGTGGTAGAATTTTTTTTTCACAACTGTAACAATATCCTGTCTTGGTTGAATTTTTCTTGTACTTTTAATTTTTGTTAACTAAAAAAACAATCTAGTTTGTTTGATATTTCTACTTAACTTTCTTTGGCACAACATATGTGATTAGGTAAAGGATCAAGGGTTTTCTATAAACAAAGAGCTGTTTGTTTTTGCATTGTCTGAAAATCTACGGTTTCTAGGTACAAGAAACAAAATGAAGATTAAAAACGTGAATTTGTCAAATGTCAAGATTTTGTTAACCGTTTTCTTCTGAATACTATTGAACTGTAAATCCAACCATTTTCTTATTGTTGTCATCGAAACATATTCTTTTTGAAGCTTGTACAGTTGTACTGAAGATATGATATATATTTACTACGATTCGGTCTACTTGGTGAAACGTTTATTTTCGTGACAACAGAAACCTAAGATTCTCAAAAGTACATTTTCGTAAGATGCACAAAAGTAGGCATGTTAGGATATGACATGTCCAGTCTGCTTTGTGGTTTAATCTCAATATCCATTGATGAATTTTCAAGAATATCAAATCTGGGGGGCATGTGACGTATATAGCCAAGAAAATCATTCTCCCGTGAGTTTATTTTGAATTGTTTTATATGTAATGCTCAATGCATGATTTTGAAAGGCCAACTTGTTGATTTAGTAGTTTGTTTCATTAGCATTTTTATTTGTTCTAAACCTAAAATTCAAAACTAATGTTCGGACTGTGTACCTCAGTACCTGCTATAAAACCTAACCTTGCTATATATCATTAAAATAATATTATGAACACTAATTTTTCGAATTTTGGTTGGTAGTTCGAAGAATATAAGTGTTGTTTAAGCACTTAATTGGAATCTAAATGATATATTCTGTACCCAATAAGAACTTTTATTGATATGGTACAAACCTATCATGGTCCAAATGATCAAAAAGTTCACGGCATCTAAAGAAATCAATTAATCCACGATTACTTAAAACATTTACTTTTACAACATATCATTTTCTTATTTCCATCCAAAGTGACATAATCATGTGCATTTTCAAAACTACAATCTCTTTTGCATGAAATTTATGTTCTATAAACGCAGGTGTATGATGATTATATAGAGAAAGGAGGAAACGTATATAGTGAAGTAATTGATTAACAAAGCCTTGGAAAATTAGAGCTTGAATGAGTATGTCTATGTCTCACCAATCTTGACACTACTTCACTCTTTTTTTCCTTAGAATTTTTTTCAGAATGATCCATCACTTTGTTCCAATGCTTCCTCTCTAAATTCATCCTTACATCATCTTCGAAGCCATCAACCAATTTCTCAGACAACTCAAACCCTTTCAGACGCACCAATATTGGTTTCTCTTCCAAGTACTTGCGCGAATTCCTGATCTTGTTTAGTTTTGTCTTGTCCTCTCTTGAGTGGGGTAGAGTTTCATTTGATAATTGTTGTGACTTGAGTGCTTGAACTGCAATATTTGGAGGGATCTTGGGATTTTTTGCAAGTTGTTTGCATGTCTCCAGTGTTAGTTTCTTGTAGTTTAGACATCGACAAAGCTTTGTTCTATCTTCGGATGCTAGATTTGGATGAGACTGCAAAAATAGTATTATCATAAAAATTTGATTAATTTAATCCTTTCCTTCAAAATGTACTGACTGAAGCAATCAGTATTAGGTTTTCCGAACTCACAGTTAGATTAAATATAACTAGTTTTCACGTGAAACTAATCTTGTTCTAATGTTTAGAACCTAATTAACAATAATTAGTCAAACAAAAAACAGACAAGATAGTCAGATTCTGACATGAATGTGCAGTAACTAGGGCAATATATTACAGACTAATTCATTAGTACCCCATTTCTTTTTTTTTTATTTGCGTTTGGTTTGTTTGCATGTTAAATTATTGTTATTAACTTTTTTACAAATACACATAACATTTTTAATGTTTTATCAAACATTTGTTTGAAATGAAATTGAAAGAACAGTTCCATTTCTGTTAATAAATGATGCATACGTTGATTTTTTTTTTTAAGTTAAAATATATACAAACTATTTGAACTAGTAGTATAAATAAATCCAAATGTAAATGATTGTGGTTTGAAAATCCTATATAATTCCATTTTAAGACATTATGAACGAATTCCCACAAAGGTCACTACTTAAACTTGCACGTGTATGTGTGTATGTATGCACATAAGTATATGTAAAATCTCAGATTTTCGAATCTTTTGATATCACAAACATAAGAAAGACAGCAAGATACGTTAAGCTTTTACATCTCTTGAGAACTGTAAAAAGCCAAACTATATAGAAAGTTGTTGGCTTCTTGTCATCTTCTATTTCACTCTACTTACTTTGTTTTTTTTTTCCCTTATTTTTTGCAAAATCATTTTTTTCCGAATTTAACATGAACATGCAATTATTTGGATAAAAAGACAAAAACAAAGCAAAAAACAGAGAATTCAGAAATTAGAAATGTAGTGAAGAAAAACTGACCTCAAGATAGATATCAATGGCTCTGAATAATCCATCAAACCAATCTCTAGCTGAATCTGGCAAACTCTCAGCAACTTCAAGAAACTTTGACACTTTGAGATTCTGGTCTGGAGATATCTCTCTCAAATACTTATCAATCAACTTCCCTATTCTTCGCATTTTCAGATTCTGTTCTTCTTCTGTGTTGCAATATTTCACAAACACTTTGAGTAGTCTTATCACCAAATCCACCTCATAAAACCCTTTTTCTTTTTTTCCTCCTGCGGGTATCAGAAGATCATCAAGTGTTGCTTGATCCAGCATTTCTCCAATAACTCTCTCCAAACCAATTCTTGATTCTTTGCTGATGCTAAACCCCGATAAAACCCGAAGAACCCAGAAGATTTTCCTGCAGGAAAACGCGGTTTTCGCAGCCAAAACCACTCCTTGAACCGCTGTATCAGCTAAACCTGCATACTCGAGCTTGTTGTTTGAATTGCTATGGAGCTTTGTTTTGAGGTAGTGGAGGAGAAATCTCGTTAGGACTAAACTGTCATTGTTCTTATCATAAGCTCCGAGGTTCTTAATCAGCTTTCCGATGATCTTGGGCCCGAAGATTGACATATCCTCGAACCACCACTCGTTGCTTGTTCTGCAAGAAAACGATCTCGAAGTAGATCGCTTGTCTGAATCTGACCTATTCTTTGCCGTCTCAGGCGACATAGAAGAGGCGGAAGCAGAGGAAGACGTCGATGATGAGGCAAAGACTTGACTCATGTCCGAATTCTGAGCGATTTTGGCTGAAACACCGAAAACAAGCTTATCGACAAGACCATACGAATCTGCGTGTAGGAACACTTGTTCGCAGCTCTTTAGGCACGAAACGATGTCGTTCCATGACCAGTAGAACATTCCTTCTAAGAACTTCTCTGTTTGTAGCAGGAGATTCGAGGAACAGAGTTTCTCTGTCATCTCAAGGAACAGAGAAGAGCAATACAAGAGGGAGACATTTGAGACATCGATCGAGATTCCTCCTCCATTACTGTAACAGAATCTTGAAACCAAATCGAACCCATCTTGTCCACCTGGAAAATCTTCGATATGGATAGTGATTCTACCGTTCTTGTGATTCTTCTTCTTCTTGTTGCTCTGTTTGATCATCTTCTTCAAGAACCCTGAGTATTCTGAGATCAAATCCTAACCCAAGGAAACAGAGAGACAAAGTTTAAATCAGATCATTAAAACAGAGGAAATTAGGTTTGATTTAAAGTGGAGCTTAGTTGATTTGTTACCTGATTGACGAAGAAAGTGAATTCGTGACTAAGATTGATTTGAAGATCACAGAGAAGAGACATTGCGTGAACTTCTTTTGCATTTGATGATCAATGAAGCTTATGATTAGTGACTCTTGTGAGCTTCCCTGTTATACTTCTTTTGTATCTCTTTTTTGGATTGTTGAGAGGGCAATAATAGTTATCACATGGAAACGGCTATTTATATATCTTTTTTTCGGCGTCTTTATTTCTATATATCTCATATACATTTCTCTTTATTTTTATAATTTTTTTTATATTCCTTTTTTAAATTACGTAAACATATTATTTTATATATATATATATATATAAAAGTAAAAAAAAAAACGGAACATTATAAATTTACAAACGAGAAGAAGTAAAATATAGGACCGGAATATGTAGCATAATGATTTGTATTAATGTCGTTACTCGTTAGTCGTTACAGTAATATAACAATTCACTGGCGTTTCATTTTGGAAACTGGTTACGTACATCCATTATTGATAAGTTGTGTGCAATCATTATTGTTCAATTGTTTTGGAATGAACGTATAAGTTTCATTTGTTAATCGAAATGTATAATATGCTACTAATCTTGATATTCAAATTGCTAATTAGGTTTACATGGTTTCAGATTTCATAATTTTTCAACCCGTGATAAATACAAATATTGATAAAACTAAGTAACATTTTTCATTTAGTGTAGTTTTCGTTTCAATTCAAGTTCAAGACTGAAACGAAGTTATTCCTTTCGATTTTGGTTCCAATGGACTTACTATTTTATTTCATTAAATAGCCTATGCATTATTATACTGTAATTTACATAGACTTTAAGCTACCAAGTGATTCTTAGACTAATGGTATTACCTTAGACATTCCAATTCAATTTTCATTTGATAAGAATTATTTACATTCTCGTGAAAGTATACAGGGTGCGGCCTATATCACTACTTAATGAACTATTAAAAACAAACCAAGGAAGTTAAGAAAAGTTATAAACCGCATTGATCGCATATTTATTTTGAAATTCATACTGTATATTTTAGTGTGCCTTTGTCAGAGAAAAGAAAGGTTTTAGAGAGTGTAGCTAATTGATTATTAAATAGAAAGTCTAGGGTGATTTAAGTAATATATGTAAGAAAAAGTATATGTTTTTGTGTACTAAACGAATTAAAAAGGGACATGTTGTCCTAAAAGAACAAATATACAAAGCTATAAAACTGGAAGATTCATGGACAAACATTGTTTGGAATCCAAAATTGTCACTTTTTCGGTCTAACTGCAGTTAGATTAAATAAATAATTATAGTCATGATTAAGTTTTAATCAGACATAAGTCCAAATAAAATAATAATACCAGAAAAGTGAAAACCAGGTGCTTGCGGTTGAAGTACACTTGCGAAGACCAGCTGCAAGATTTGATTCCTATATGCTCATTGAACATGATGACAAATCATAAAACATAGCAAAATATGAAGATACCCCAATAATTAGGTGGATAATTTATAGGAAAGTGTTTTACAATGATACTAATTTTTTTTATATATTTAGACTAGCACTAATCATGTCATTTTGTATGTGAAATACATTTGCATGGATTAACACATAGTTAGTTAACAAACGATAAAAAAAATATATTATAACAGTGTATCATACAGTGGTATCTGAATTGGCAGTGGAGTGAACTATGGGTTAAAATGCATAATCCACCACGGAAAAGGATGCTTCATAAACACACTTCTGACTTGTCTATACCACAAGGACTAAGCTACTCAAGTAGTATTATAAAATTATGTATTATATGCTGGTTAATACATAGATACACAAATATATGAGTGTGTCCACTTTGTTTTTATGTGAATTACAAATATTCCCCCTTTCTTGGCGTTATAGTATAAAAATCTGTAATACAACTTTCCCAATTTAATTTCATTTCAAGAGTTTGCTTTCCTCTTTTATTATCTAACAGTTGCTTGCAAAGTTGGGAGTTTCACTTTCATTGCATGTGAATGGGTGGGGTTGTGAGTATGACTCTTACGTTTTTAAACAAAGTCGACTCCATACTTTTGCATCACTATCCAAATTCCAGCCATGTATTTGATAACGATTTATGAAACAAATATTAAAAAAACATACACCACTCTCTGACTCTCACCACACATTACTTGATTAATTTTTGATATTAGTTGTAAGAGTTTTCAATTAATAGCGACGATGAAACAAAAATTGACTTGTTTTGGTTTTTGGATCCGAATTTTTTTTTTTTTATATGGATCTAACAAGAAATAGCAAACAAGAAGAGTAAACCAAATGCAATCTGTCTATTTTAAAGATCCCTACTCTTAACAAAATGTCGATTTTCTTGTATTTCGACAAAAAATATTACATTAGTTTCTATGGTCTTGTAGAAAACTAGATTACGTTAAATTGCAATATTTGAATCGGTCGATAAGGCCCATGGGAAAAAAATAGACGAGCCCATATAAATTATAATGGGCTCTGTGTAAATATTTTGACCGACGGAAAAGATTTCTGTACGCGTCGCCGCCTTCTAAACCGTCGCCGTCGCCGTCGCCATAAGAAAGTTTCACATATATAAACGAAATTTCCCTTGCGGATTATTCAGCAAACCATTCGAAGGAATCACAAGCCAGCATGGAGAACGGAGATATCCCAGAGAACGCCAATGAACGTAAGGAAAAACCAACTCTTTTTTTCAGCTTTTCATCAGCTTGATGTTCTTCATCTGTGGGTTTAACCTAATTTCTTAATGTTTGTTGGTTTCTGGTGGATGATAGATTGCCCAGGTCCTCAATCGGAAACTGCTGGAAAGTCAGATTCTTGCGCGGGTTGCCCTAATCAGGAAGTATGCGCCACTGCTCCTAAGGGACCTGACCCAGGTTCGGGTTCTCCCTCCTTTTTACTCTCTCTCTCTCTCTCTCGACCATGCGATCTTCGATTACACTTGATTTCTGGTTTTCGCATGTGTATGATTTTGAGTCGATGCTGAAGATTATATCCCACAAGTTCGTTTTCTTAGTTGAGATTTCTGGATGTTAAGATTCTACTTATAGGTTCTCCTTTGCCCATTCATGAAAAAATCGATTTTTGTAGCTATGTTATAGCTTGTATCTCCTATTTACATCATTCATGTGCGATTGCTTGCGAATCTGTTTGCTATTTGGAAGTCTATTTTTGTATGCACGCTTTGTAACTCTATAATCGATAATATCAAGCAAAGTAGTGTCAATATATGTTAATGAGAGCATACATTTTTACAAACCTGTGAGCTCCATTGGAGCTGTAGCTTCCTTTTACTGGCCATATTGTTCTTTTGAGAGTAACACCTTGTGACGACTAGACCAAATGATTTTGTTTGATACTAATGTCGATTTATACTCCATATGTGTTTCGAGTCTCAGAGACTTTGCGCTGACATCTTCTGTTTTCTTCAGATTTGGTTGCAATAGCGGAGAGGATGAGCACTGTTAAACACAAGATCCTGGTTTTATCTGGCAAAGGCGGGGTTGGTAAGAGCACTTTCTCAGCTCAGCTCTCGTTTGCCCTTGCGGGGATGGACCATCAAGTAGGCCTGATGGACATAGACATATGCGGCCCAAGCATGCCGAAAATGTTAGGCCTTGAAGGGCACGAGATTCACCAGAGCAACCTCGGATGGTCCCCTGTCTATGTGGAAGACAACCTCGGTGTAATGTCCATAGGCTTCATGCTCCCCAACGCTGATGACGCTGTGGTCTGGAGAGGTCCACGCAAGAACGCTCTCATCAAACAGTTCTTGAAAGACGTCTACTGGGGAGAGATCGATTACCTCGTGGTCGACGCCCCACCAGGAACTTCGGATGAGCACATCTCCATCGTCCAGTACCTTCAAGAGACGGGGATCGACGGCGCAATCATCGTCACGACCCCACAGGAAGTCTCGTTGATCGATGTGAGGAAAGAAGTGAGCTTCTGCAAGAAAGTTGGAGTCCCGATTCTAGGAGTGGTGGAGAACATGAGCGGTTTGTCTCAACCTTTGACGGATGTCAAGTTCATGAAGGTGGTGAAAGAGAGTGGCTCCTCCATTGACGTGACAAAAGAGGTAATCTCTTGCCTAAGAGAGAACGCACCGGAGCTTTTCAACGTCGTGGTATGCAGCGAGGTGTTTGACAGCAGCGGAGGCGGCGCAGAGAGAATGTGTCGGGAAATGGGAGTGCCGTTTCTTGGGAAAGTTCCTTTGGATCCACAGCTTTGCAAAGCAGCAGAGCAAGGTAAGTCGTGCTTTGAGGATAACAGGTGTTCCGTTAGCGCACCTGCGCTTAAGAGCATCATACAGAAAGTCGTTGCTGCGATGCCGATGATGACCGAGTGAAGATGAAGATGGAAGATGATGAAACCCCACTTAAATCCCTCTGTTCTGATCTGTGGGAAGATAATGCGAGAGAGCTTTATCCCTTTCTTTTTGGGTTGTTTGTGTAGTAAGTTGTAGACAGTGTTTTCACATGTTTAATAAGATTTTTATCATTGAGATTGAACGATAAAGTCTTATCGAGTCTGATCCGAAAATCCAACTCATTAACTATATAAATTTATACAATGTCGAATCTAATTCGAACTTAAAGATTAGCCTGACTTTTAAAGGCCACCAACAGTCAAATTTGTGATCCATTTGTGAGAGATCCCTCTAAAATATTGTATAACTCATATACACACCGTAACCAAAAAGATCAATAAGTTTCCTGAGAAAATTTCATTTCGGGTAAATTCAAAGAGAAAAATCACCGTGGAGAAGAAATCTACTTTTGGAAAACAGAGCAAAATCCCAAAAAGTTACTTCAGATATCATAATTCATAAGAATGCTAATTTTACGGTATTATCTTTCCAAACTTCAAAATTTTCTTTTCTACAACTTGATTATAATATAATCCGAGACTTATTGAATCAACCATTTAGGGGTCTATTTTGATAAACGCATTATTTGGAGGGAGAAGTATAAACAAAATCCAAACTGTGGGTCATCTATAGGAAATATGGAACTTTAATGTCGGAAGATAAGAGAGAATGCTGAAATATAAAAAGATGTTACAAATAAAAATTGTCATTAAGGATGAAATATAAAAAGATGTTAAAATAATTGAAAAAAAGGAGATAAAGAGAAAATGGCATAATGCTTGTGAGCAGAGAGCGGCCTAGAACGAGAATCTCTTTCTTCGCCGAACCTTCTCTTGTCTTCTCTCATCGAATCTCTCCGTCGCCGTCGATTTTTCCCGCCGGTGAGTTTGTTCAGTCTCTGCTTTTTGTTCTCCTCAATAGATCTTCCTCAATTGACCGCAATACATCGCCCTCCTTAGGGTTTCGATCAAATTCCAGCTTAGTTGCTTCTTAAATCAAAGGAATTAATTCAATTTCGTGGGCGTTGTTGGTCTGAACTAGCTCTAGTTTATCAAAGTGTAGGAATTTTTTTCAGGAAAATCTCTGATGACTAATTAAAGATTCATTCATGTTATGAAGGGTCCTTTCTTCAGAAGTATAAATTTCTGATTTTTGATAGATGTGATTGCCAAACCCGGTTTAGAAAGAATGTGGATTTGTTGGTGACTTCTCTTAAGAAACCTTCTCGCAATGAGTTCATCTGAACAATCTGTAAATCTTAGGATGCTTTTAGGTTACAACAATCAGATATGCTGAAGGAATTGAAAAAAATCAATCAGATATCAGATGTGAGAAGCAGCTTGAAGGGCTGTGTTAGGATGCTTATAGATGCTAAGTACGTAGTTTTAGCTGGGGTTGAAAGAGAATCATTCAAGTTCTCTGATTATAACAAGACTCAAACAATGTGTCGTCGTGTGCCCCTTGATCTGCTGCTATGGTGGATTTGAATTCTCAGAGGCGTTATGAGTTAATTTGATGTTTTTTGCAGTTTGTAGAAGGAGAGGTCATGGACGTTTCTGCTAGAAAGTCGCAAAAGGCAGGCCGCGAAAAGTTGAGGAGGGAAAAACTGAATGAACATTTTGTCGAACTGGGGAATGTACTCGGTAATTAAAGATTCAAACTTTATGTGCATTTAAAACATTTACATGATTCAGTTTTAGATCCTCACATGTCTCTTCTGTTTGCAGATCCAGACAGACCCAAGAATGATAAAGCCACAATTCTGACTGATACTGTTCAGCTGTTGAAAGAGCTCACATCAGAAGTCAACAAGCTGAAATCTGAGTACACCGCGTTAACAGATGAGTCCCGAGAGGTTTGTGTTCTTATCCTTCATTCTATTGATATGCACACATGTGTTCCTGATACGTTTTAACAACGGTTCCTTCTGAAGTTGACACAAGAGAAGAATGACCTAAGAGAAGAGAAGACATCGCTGAAGTCGGATATAGAGAATCTCAATCTTCAGTACCAGCAGAGATTAAGGTCAATGTCTCCATGGGGAGCTGCAATGGATCACACGGTCATGATGGCTCCACCCCCTTCCTTTCCATACCCAATGCCTATGGCTATGCCTCCCGGGTCAATCCCAATGCATCCATCAATGCCATCTTACACATACTTTGGGAACCAGAACCCTAGCATGATGCCAGCTCCATGTCCTACTTACATGCCCTATATGCCTCCAAACACAGTCGTTGAACAACAGTCCGTGCATATACCGCAGAACCCGAGTAACCGCTCTCGGGAACCTAGAACGAAGGTTTCAAGAGAGAGCAGATCCGAGAAAGCAGAGGACTCTAACGACGTGGCGACACAACTCGAGTTAAAGACCCCTGGATCTACTTCTGATAAGGTTAGTGAGTTGGAAAAAGAAAAAGCTTGTGAGATGATGATATCAGAAGCTTTGACATGTCAGGATTTTATTAACAAACTGTGTATTTGTAGGATACATTGCAGAGGCCAGAGAAGACGAAGAGATGTAAGAGAAACAGCAACAACAATTCCGTAGAAGAAAGCTCTCATTCTAGCAAATGTTCTTCTTCTCCGAGCGTCCGAGACAACAGTTCTTCCAGTAGCGTAGCTGGTGGCCAAAAGCCTGATGATGCGAAATGACCAAATGGAATTTGATGGAGATCGGAAAACGGCAGCGTCTCGATGAGTATATGAATGTGAGTACAAAACGCAGTCGCTGTTCAAATTGGCGTTTTGATGCAACGTTGGCTTTCTTCCTACCTATAAGTATAACTTGGCTGATTTTCATCACCGCTGATTTGTACTCCGATATCCAAATTCACTAATTTTAATAGTTATATAAATTAAATAAATCTTTTTTTTTAAATACTTAATGTCAGAAATAAACTTACTTTTTGATTATTTATAAATGTAGATTTCGACTGTGGATAAAATAGAATTTATCAGCTTACGTTTAAATATGTATACTACATGCCTATTTCTTCGCACAATACATAAAGTTACAAATATATTTGTAGAGACAAAATGATATTTACTGTCAACAGAAAAAAGTTAGAGACAAAATAATAAGCGTAAAATATGGAAAATTAAATAAATAATTAGATAATGAGTCAGCTTCTAGAATTGATCTGTTTCTCGGAGTGGTACTGCCGGCGACAATGGTCTGTCTTATCTTTTCTCAAATGACTTCGTTTCTAATTCAAATCCTAGATTCGATCAGAGGATGACGACGACTACTACGCCGGAGAAGACTCCGGCGAGACCCCTCTCTGTCCAGGACTGGGACGTTCTTATCGAGGATTTCCAAGACGCCGGCGTTCCTCGCGACTGGTTTACCGCCGTCTTCTCGATTGATTCTCTGGTGGACTTTGCTCTCTCTTCTCTCCTGAAGAAGGAATTTCCTTCGCCAGTGAAGCTCTCAATCCTTGTCTTTCTCGAAGAATTCTCCGATGTTTTGTTCGCTAAATGTGGTAGCGAGACCTTTGATCGCTTCATCGATGCTCTTCGTGCGATCGTGCAATCTCCGACTGATGGATCTTCCGGATTGAAAGAGCAAGCGATGATCTCTTTCACGTCGGTGCTGTGCTCGATTGATTCTTTCTCTGTACGTCACGTTGAAGCAGTTGTCGACTTGCTCCTCGCGCTCGTTAATCGTCCCAACCACGGGTTTGACCGGCAAGCTCGTGCAATCGCGTGCGAGTGCTTGCGCCAGCTCGAGAGAGCCTTTCCTGGTTTGCTCTCCGATGTCGCTGGCCATCTTTGGTCGCTGTGCCAGGCGGAGAGAACCCACGCCGTGCAAGCTTACCTTCTCTTGTTCACCACAGTTGTCTACAACGTAGTCCATCAGAAGCTGAGGGTTTCACTTCTTAGTACCTCTGTGCCTCTGGTGCCTTTCAATGCTCCAAATTGGATGCGGGATCAGAGTTCGATTCAGGGTCAAGGTCAAAGTCAGGGGTTGGGGCCAGATCAGAAGGAACTAAGACGAACACTGGCTTTCATGTTGGAATCGCCGTATCTATTCACGTCCTGTGCTATGATGGAGTTTATGTGTATGGTAGTGCCACTTGCGTCGGCATTGGAGTTACAGGCCTCTATGCTGAAAGTCCAGTTCTTGGGCATGATATATTCGTTTGATCCGATGCTCTGTCGTGTTGTCCTACTTATGTATACTCAGTTCCCTGATGCTTTCGAGGGACAGGAGAAAGAGATCATGAGACGTCTTATGCTTCTCTCTAAGGAGACTCAGATATATCTTGTTTTCCGTTTGCTTGCGCTTCACTGGTTAATGGGTTTGTTGAATAAGCTTATGTTGAGTGGGGAGCTTGAGAAGAGGAAGTCGGTTCTCGAGATGGGTCAGAAGTTTCATCCTGTTGTTTTTGATCCACTCGCTTTAAAAGCGCTGAAGCTTGATCTGCTGGTACAATGCAATGTTAGTTCCAAGGCTTTGAGTGGCGGTGATAACAGCAAATCTGGTGGGGAGTTGTTGCAGGAATGCTTGATATCCGTTAAGGATTTCAAATGGTTGCCTCCTTGGAGCTCAGAAACTGCAGTAGCATTCCGCACTTTACACAAGTTTCTGATATGTGCGTCTACACATTCCGACTCTGACCCTTCCACCACTAGAAGCCTTATGGAGTCTAGCCTCTTCCAAAACTTGCAGGTTCTGTTGCTATCTTTGCTTGTTTCTTGGTCTCGCTTATTTTCGAGAAGGGAACAGAACTTGTGTAGCCCTTTTTAGTTCTATGTACTCTGTCTTGTTGAGCTTCAGGGACATTTCCTCTCTCAGATATACTCTTCCTTTGTTTTGATTGTGGTATATGTTTAATTCAGGAGTTGCTGGTGGACATGACTTCGGATTTCCAAATCTTGGTCCCTGTTATTGTGGCGTTTATTGAGCGGTTGATAGGCTGTCAAAAGCATCAGTGGTTAGGAGAGCGGTTTCTTCAGACGATCGATGAGAAGCTGCTTCCCAAACTTGAGAAGAACAATTTATTAACAGCTTACTTCCCGCTTTTCCATCGTATTGCCGAGAATGATACAATACCTCCTTCTCGATTGATAGAGCTGCTTACGAACTTTGTGGTCTCACTTGTTGAGAAGCGCGGGTTTGATGTGGGTTTGAAATTGTGGGATCAAGGAACTGAAGTTCTTGGCATTTGTCGAACGCTGATGAGTCACCATAAGAGCTCTAGATTATTTCTTGGACTCTCTCGCCTTCTTTCTCTCATGTGTCTCTCTTTCCCTGATCTGGAGGTCAGAGACAACGCTAGGTATGACCATGGCACACACTAGACAAATCTTCTACATTTTGTGACCATGCCCATTGCATTAACTCAAGCTCTTACATTGGTACCGTGCAGGATATATCTGAGGATGCTGGTCTGTATACCAGGACGGAGGATAAAGAACATTTTGAAGCCTGCAGAGACCGTTTCTCCATCAACTCATTCATCTACATTCTTTAGTGTCCAAAGTCCTCGTTTTCGTCATGATCCGAACCAATCTAAGAACCTCTCATCATATATTCATCTTGAACGGGTCACGCCCCTACTCGTGAAACAGTCATGGTTGTTGTCTCTACCATCTGTAGGTGTTGGAAATGATGGATATAGCATTATCGAAAGCAAAATTCAGGTGGATGAAGTTGAGCCTGATAGCAGTCAAGAACTCCAGGTTTTGCCAGACTCTCGAAGAATCGAATCAGGAAAGCCCACATTAAGGGTGATGGATGCAAAGATTGCAGAAATTCTTGAAAGGTTAAGAAGATATTTCTCAGTAATTCCTGATGTCAGACACATGCCTGGAATCAAGGTTAGGATAACCTGTACTTTGAGACTGGATGCTGAACCATATAGCACCATATGGAGCGGTCAAACCCAGAGTTCCGAGCTAGATAAAGTCGACTCACCTCCTGCGATATTTGCGACGGTGCTCAAATTCTCATCTTCAGCACCTTATGGCTCTATTCCATCGTGCCGCATACCTTTCCTTCTCGGTGAGCCTCGCTGGAACAAGAATGTGCCCAACGATGAAGGTTCTTTGGGCATCGTCTTGTTAGAGAACACGCCGAAAGAGGAGGAAAGAGGTGCATTGGGAGGAGCACCTCTAACAGTTGAACTGGAACCTAGAGAACCAACACCTGGTTTGGTAGAGGTTTCAATGGAAGCAAACGCAGAGAATGGTCAGATGATTCAGGGGAAACTCGAGAGTGTCTCTGTGGGGATCGAAGACATGTTCCTGAAAGCTCTTGCCCCACCTGACGAACCTGAAGAGACAATACCGAGCTACTACTCAGATTTATTCAATGCTTTGTGGGAAGTATGCGGTTCTTCATCCAGCACCGCACACGAGACATTTGCACTAAAAGGAGGCAAAACAGCTGCAGCAATCAGTGGGACTCGATCAGTGAAACTGCTTGAAGTCCCTGCAGAAACCGTTATACAGGCCAGCGAGCTTCATTTAGCGCCCTTTGTGGTGGCTATCACCGGAGAACGGCTTGTGAACATTGTAAGAGACGGAGGAATCATCGAGAACATTGTGTGGAAGGAGGAGGAAGACGAAGAAAGGGATAACGCTAATAATGCGGAGAGGTCAACTTCATCATCGGCGGGGGCCACCGGATTGAGCCGAGGTCCTCTTTGTCTGACATACATTGGATATGGAGATGATCATGAGGTTCCGATGACGAGGAGCAGAGGGAAAATGGGAAAGATAAAGATGCTGATGTTTCTGCCGCCGAGATATCATCTGCTGTTTGAAATGGAAGTTGGTGAAGGATCGACATTGGTGCATATAAGAACAGATCATTGGCCTTGCTTGGCTTATGTTGATGATTACTTGGAAGCTTTGTTTTTGCAGTAGAAGAGACTTTTATTGTTTTTATTCTCTTTTTACCCACCTACAAACACAACGGAGTAAAACCCAGCAAATGTTATTTTGCTTTGAGAAATCCAGTTTTGTTTTGGGCAGTGCTAGACATCAATTTTACCACGGTCAGTAAAATTATTTTACAGAAGTTAAAAAAAAAAATTTAATAGAGTTGGATCATAATGAAAATTGGTCTTATCTAACCGTGTCAATATATGATTTTTACTAAGTTATTATTATTTTTTTGGTACGAGTGTGGGGAACAAAATCTTTCTCCATCTTTATTAGGAGGTGTTATTAGTTCTTGTATTTTAATGAATTTGAGAATCCAAACCAAATTCAGTGTTATTGGTTCTTGTATTTTAAAATTTATATTGAAATACAGTGTTATTGGTTCTATGATTTTAAAATCCACAATGAAATACAGTGTTATTGGTTCTATCATTTTAGAATCTAAGTATTATACGAATTTGAGTTTTAATTGAATTTGAATGAATTTAGAAAGATTTTCATGACTAAAATACAAAGACTCAAATACAAGGTCTTAATAAAGTGAAAATGCATCAACAAATACAAACATTTCGTGTATGCCTATGACCAAGCAAATCCTCTTGTAACAAAGAATTTAAACAAGCAGGAACAGAATCAAAATCATGAAAGTCAAAATGAAACGAGAATGCATAGTTCGCTATGGCAATTAGGTTGCACATGAGAGAATCGGACTATCCAGTTCCTATACACGTAATTTTTACTAAGTTATTTACTCAAGCCACTATAATTTCAACTATAAAACAATGTTTATAAATATTTTACCGTATCCCTCTTACTAAACCGTCATAATTTCGGTTAGTTTGATTAATTTCGTTAAAACTGATTTTTTTGTTTCCCGCTTGACTTATGTTACTTCTTCCTCTTTGCTCCTTTCTTTTCTTTTCTCTTCTCTGCCAACCGATTCCGTTTCATCATTTTCTCAACTTTCTCACAGTTTCTCTCTCGCTTTATTCACTTTCCGGGTTCTCTCGCTTCATCCACTTTCGCGCATCTCTTCAAATGGCATTGTATTATAATCTCGACGACGCCATACCTGTTCCAGAAAGTAAAATTCAAAATCAAATTTTGTTTAACAAATTTGATTCGGAACAAAAACTTTCATTGATTATTGGATTCTTGGTATACGTAATTCATATTGATTGATGTTTGTGACTTGGATTTTTTCCAGATGTGCATAACATCATCCAGGTATCAAGAGAGAGAGAGAGAGATGGCTTATGGGCTTGGAACTAAGGAGCCGCTTTCGAAACATCAATGTTTTTCCCGTTTCGATTGGTACACCTAAAAATATAAATGGGTTGTTTATAATACGGAGAGCAAGATCTATTGTTGTCAATGACTGAGTACACTGGATTTCTCAATCCTAACTACACATATTCAGGTTTTCTTCATATTTCAGTTTCTCTCTCACTTTCCCGCTTCTCTTACTTCATTCAGATGGCCTTGTACTACAATTTGCAGGATAACACCATACCTGTTACGCCGGTAGCTTTTAGTTGTTAGTGCTAGTTTTTGATAGATGATCTTGGGAATGAATATCTTAGGTGCGATCGCAATATTTCACTCATACATGTATATTAATAATGTTACCATATATATCTACAAATTCAACATATTATATCAATAAAGTGACAATGATCACAATATTGCTTGACATTATACTAAAAAATATCAATAAAATTTTTGAATAGCGCTCGAACATATGGTAAAAATACCGACATCAAATAAAATCAACCAAAAGATAATGCTGGAAAAACAATAAAGGTACCAATATCTAATAAAGCCAACCCAAAAAGAAACAACAGATATCAAACATTCATAAATGAGAATAACAAGATATATCAACGTCTTTAATTTGCAAATACCGAATAAGCAATTGATTGATCATAAACAAATAACATCCATCAAACCAAAGAAAATCATTGACATTAGACACTCATGGTTGAGAATAACAAGATCTATCAACATATCTAATTTGGAGAGAGATAGGAGAACCAGTTGATTGATTGAAAACAAACAATATCTAATTGAAAGGAGATATTCAAAGATATATCATTATATATATGATTTTTAATAGATCAATATACATTTTTACTCCAATTGTCAAGGCAAAAGACGACAGATTTGGATACTATTGGTATAAAATTTCACAAATATCAAAGTTTTGTAAAATTACTTTCAAACCTAGACTATTAGTTCTACACTTCTACTACTGTTAGAATGGATGAGCTTACATTGGTTTTAACTAGAGTGTCATTCTTGGCTGATTTAAATTAATTTGGTTTAAATGTAGTTTGAATTCAATATGTTTTGGATTTACGTTTGGGATGAAGAAATAGGTTTAGGCTTGATTACGTTGTGGAGTATTCTCGGCCGGTGATACTGATAGATCTTCTAGCCTCTAATGCAGTGATGCCTAATAATTTTGTAGTATTTGTTTACATTTTCAATATGGATTAGTTTTTTTTTTGACAGACAATATGGATTAGTTATGTGATCTTTCTTTTTGTTTTCGTCAAAGGATCAAATATGATCTAATAGCTTTTCTACGTACCAAATGAACATTTGAGGGATTACAAATCTTCTAGTGCTTCTAACGCCCTGATCTTAACTACTTCTTCTTCTTCTTTTTTTTTTTTCAGTATTCTATCATGAATGATAGAAGATCTCAACATCATTGCATATAGTAGTACTATAAATCTTAATCTTAATTCGTTTTTTTCATTGACTTTTAACTTTATTATAATTTTTGTTCATAGGTTCTTTCGACAGGCATTTCAAGATCAGGCAATCAAGCTTCCCTGGAAAATATAATAAAATATGTAGAAACTAATTCATAATTGACTAGGCTTGTTCAGCCAAAACAAATACAAAGTAAAAAAATGACTGAAATAGAGATAATGCAAGAAACAAGAAATAAGGTATCGTAAAAATAGTTGTTTACTAGTAGTCTCCTTTTGTTTTCGCCTTGGTTGATTTGATTTTCACAACACATTCTGCTCTCGTCTTGGTTGATTTTCACTGCACTTGGAACATAAGAACACACAAGTGGACGATCGTGCATCAACTCTTTGATATGGACAGCTTGAAGATCCACTTTTCTCAAGTATCCATTCTCTCCAATGATATGAGCGCCTATGCTGCATCTCCAGCTACAGATACTGAAAACCACTGCGAGTTTCTTCTCCTGGTCAATGAAGAAACTCCCAGCAGAAATCTTGAATCTAAAATCAGGAATATCAACGCTTAAGAAGTTGCACCACAGCACTGCATTGGGCCTAATACTAGTTGTCACCCAAATTCTTACTTTAGATGAACCAAAGGGTTTAAATAACACCGCAAGCTGCTCTTCTCTAACACATGATAGACCCACGACGTCTAAAACACTGTAGTGAAACGGCAGAGGAAGACGTGGTCCAAATCTCTCCAATCTTCGAGCGACAAAGTACGTATTTCCCTTCAATGACACACCATGTTGATTAAAAATTATATTCAGATCGGGAGTGACATCAAGAACCCTCCATGAGTTTGACTTGAAATCAAAAAATTTCGTACTCATCAACAGTTCCGTCCTTGTCAATTGTTGTGTTGTAATGATCCAAAAACCTCAAGATCTTGTGGTTCTTCTCGTTGTCGTATCCGATAGCATAGATGTTTGATCTGCAGCCAGAGTTTATGGGTTCGATCCACCTGATTTGCTCCAAATACGGGTTCCAAACCAAGAGCCTAATGTTGTTCCTTGGAACGCATAACAATAAACCGTTGCAATGAAATATCTTAGATATCTCCACAGAATTAAGTAAATTACTTATGTCTTTTATAGATGGATCATCGTACTGTACTTCTTGACTTTCTTCGTTGATGTTTCCATGGAGACTTAATCTCATTGAAAAAATCTTGTAGTCCTTGATCACGAACCCTAGAAACTGCTGCCTTGCTTCTGCTTTACTTAAAATACGATCTTTGGATACAGCGTTCCATTGTTTGCAAGTATATCTCACTGCTCTCAAACATATCCCAAGAAAGATCAGAGATAATCGTCATCGTTTCAATTTTCAAATATAAATTAAGGTTTCAGTTTTCACACGCTTGTCGACTTTATATACAAGTTACTGCGGTTACGTACGTACGTGTAGTTTTAAAACTTTTACAAATTATAAATATGGTTTTTTTTATCTCCTTTGGGCTCAACGACTATACTTTTCATTATTTCAAAATGGATGATGATCTTACAACTATTTATCAAACTCAACATGGGTTACGTACAACCCAAATTGAAACTACCTATGAACTTCACGAATGAAAAGAAGTTATTTGCTACTCTTTGTGGTTTTTAATCCTTGCTAAATGTTATGTAAAATGGAAACTTCCGTATCTGAATGAATTCTTGCTCTCTTTTTTAATTTTCACAACAAACAATCACATCAACTAGCTAGCTCGAGAAATTGCTCACTTAATTAGCGTTGAGTGAGTTGGTAAACCACAAAGAGTAGCATTGTAAAAGGGTTTGGAGAAGAAACTGTGCCTTGCAAGAGAAGGTACCGCTGGTTACTTGTCTCTTACGGCAGGGTTGGTCAGACATAAACATAATAAACAGCAGTAACAGCCGCATCTTGTGAATATCCGGACTCAGCTTTGTAATTATAGGTCCCGGTTTCTTGTTTTAAAAAAAATTATTTTTCCTTACAGAAACTGCATCACTCACCCAAAAAAATGTTTTCTTTGTTGTTGTCGTATATAGAGGGTTTGGTTTGTTTCTTTCTTTTTCGTAATTTCTTACGCCCCAATTCTTGAACTGCAATAAATTGTGTTGTTATACCTGTAACTGTTTTTTATAAGAGTTAATTATCTATGTTGGATTTAGTTGTTTTTCTTTTAAAGTGAGTTCAGAGAACACCAGTTGTTTCAAAATGTAGTAATGGCTACTAAGTCGTTTCATTCATCAGGTGAAATTGAAGATAGAGAGGAATTGAATGTACTCAACATTAATCATGTTTCTCTGACCATCAGCAATGACTGTTTGACTAAATAAAAACAAAAACGAGTGAAAAGAAGTAAGCTTGTATTAACCCTTGATAGAAACGTCTCGTGTAAATTTAGTTGATTTGCACTAAACTGGGAACATAAGAGCAC